GGCCTGAACTCTGGGCCTGGGCGCTGTCCCTCAGCTCTTCAGCTCAAGGCTAGCGCTCTACCACTTGAGCCACAGCACCACTTCCAGCTTTTTTCTTTTTTGCTTATGTGGTGCTGGGGAATCGAACCCAGGGCCTTACGCATGCAAGGCAAGTGCTCTACCACTGAGCCACCTTCCCAGCCCCAACTGAGCAGATACTTTTGTAAGTTATAGTTAAAAAGACACCATTTGGCTAGAAGTGGGTAGAAGTCATTTTTGTTTTTTATAGTAAATAGCATAGACCTGCTGTGTTGAGGATTTTCTGTTCTTAAAATATTCTATAATCTCATAGGCTTTACCTTTAGACACGTGTTATTCCTGTTAATAGTATTAACCTATTTTAAAGTAGTGCTAGAATTTGTGTTTCAGGTAAATAGGAGCTGATAGAATTTTTTAAATTTTTTTATTGTAAAAATATTATAGAGAAAGGGGTTACAATTACAGGAGAAGGTAATTAGTACATTTCCTATCAAGCATTGTTACCTCCTCCTTTGTTTTTGATAGAATTACTTGTCAAAATAAAAGCCAGATAGATTTTTTGCCAAGTAGAAAGTAGAGGCAAAAAGGATTAACACAGAACAAAAGAATTCTTATGACTGGTTTGTGGGTTTGTCTTTAGGCTGTGGTCAACATTAGCTCTTAAGTTTTCAGCTAGTATTTTCAATTAATTTGACTATCTGTTGACTTTGACTTTAGAGCTTAATAGTGTGGGCTTGAGTGAATAATACTTTACTTATCCAGCCCACTTCTTTATGTTTTTAATATAAAAGGAGAGAGTAATGAACTCCTTCTAGCAGGCTTGTTGAGGAAAAAATCTGAATAGCCTCTATCCATACCCATGTAAACTGAACTTGAACTATAGAATGTTACCTTCTGTGATTGTTTTATTATGAACTGGGCTGTATAATTCATATGTAACTTTTGGGGGGACCTAGACATATAGAACTCTTTGTACAACTATGTATTTTAAGTTTTTTAGCCATATCTAACTATTGATTACCCTTTCCTTTCTGTGTTTTATAGTATTTAGTCATTAGGCCTGGTAATTGCCCTACAATTCCATTTTTATTTTCTAAATTTAGGGTCCTTGAGGCCAAGAATTCAGGCTGCCAAATATGCCAAAAAGCGAACCAGTCCCCGGTGGCTCACACCTGTAATCCTAGCTACTCAGGAGTCTGAGATCTGAGGATGGTGGTTCTAAGCCAGCCCAGGCAGGAAAGTCCATGAGACTCTTATTTCCAGTTAACTACCACAAAAAGCTGGAAATGGAACTGTGATGAAGTGAAAAAGTGCCAGCCTTGAGCACAGCAGCTCAGGACAACATCCAGGCCCTGAGTCCAAGCCTCAGGACTGGCACTCCTCCCCTCTCCCCACCCCCCCATCCCCGAAAAAAATAAAATAAATGGCTTGTGTGGGATCTAGAGTGGTTACTTGCCCTGGATAAAATGTGCTGATGATAACATCCCTTTTGCTGAGCTGCAAAAGTTAACACTATGTTGGTAACAATGTACTAGGAAGATACACTGAAATTTCTAATCATATGTTACGGATTTTCCCTTAAAATCCTTTTTTTAAAAAAAGAAATTGTAGTCCAGCTTGAAAACAATGTTAACTGTTTTTACTATTCCAGCTATGACTTCACACCTATGGACTCTTCTGCCGTGTATGTGTTAAGTAGCATGGCTCGCCAGCGCCGCGCGTCTTTGTCTTGTGGAGGATCTGGTGGTCAAGACTTTGCAGGATCTGGATTCAGTAAAAACTGTGGCTCACCTGGATCGTCACAGCTCTCTTCCAATTCTTTGTATGCTAAAGCTGTCAAAAACCACAGCTCAGGGACTGTGAGTGCCACTTCTCCTAATAAGTGCAAGAGACCAATGAATGCCTTCATGCTTTTTGCCAAAAAATACAGAGTTGAATATACTCAGATGTATCCAGGGAAAGATAACAGGTAAACATGAAAATAATTTTGATTATAATTATTTAGTAACACTTCAGTATACAGTAACTGAGATAAGTGAATATAACTGTCATTGACTTCGTCCTTTAAAGTTTAAGTGAATTTTAGGATGATATGCAATTATCTTTAACTAGGTTATCTTAGTAGCAAGAAATTGCTTTTTTGAACTGACAATAAATATCATGTTAGAGGACACACAGGTTATTATAACAGTTGACAGTTTCTTATGTTATCTCAAAAGTTTTTTTGTTTTTTTTATTGGGCATAAGGCTTGAACTCTGGGCCTGGGCACTGTCCTTCAGCTTTTCAGCTCAAGGCCTAGTGCTAAACCATTTGAGCCACAGTGCCACTTCTGGTTTTCTGGAAATTGATTGAAGATAAGAGTTTCATGGCTTTTCCTGCCTGGGCTGGCTTTGAACCACGATCCTCAGATCGCAGCCTCCTGAGTAGCCAGGATTACGGGCGTGAGCCACTGGCTCCTGGCTGTCTCAGTAGTCTCCCTGCCCCCCACTTCTGTTTTCCTCAAATAATCATTTCAATTTCACGTGTCATTTTATGTGTGTAGTGCATCTTGATCAAAGCAGTCTTCCATTACTCTCCCCCATCTCCTAAAGTTTCTAGTTGTTTTCACATGTGTGCATCAAGTATGATAGCTATGTCATCTACCATTCCTTTTTTCATTTGTCTGCCCCTTTCCTTTCTGCCTAACTCAGTCAAGACGTGTTTCAGCTTCCTTTTATTCATGTTGTTGAACTGCCTGATAACTGTTCATGGGAGTTACTTTGGAATATTACGCCTCTGTTTACCATCCTTTGGACACTTTGATCAAGGTGTTCTCAATTATGTTTATATTTTAGGTTTAACTTTACATGTGAGAGAAAATACACATCCTTTGTCTCTCTGAATCTGGCTTTACTCTATGAGTTTTATCCATTTCCATTTCCCTAAAATGACTGTGTGTGCACACGTATGCATGATAGTTCTGGAGCTTGAACTCAGGACCTGAGTACTGTCCTTGAGTTTTTTCCAGTGCTAGCACTTTACCAGTTGAGCCATAGCACTATTTCCAGTGTTTTGCTGGTTAATTGGAGATATGAGTTTCTTAGACTTTACTGCCCAGGCTGAATTCAAACTGTGTTTCTCAGCCTCCCGAGTAGCTAGGATTACAGGTATGAGCCACTGGCATCAGGACACACCCCATATTTTCTTGATTCATTCATTGATTAAAAGACATCTGGACTGTTGCTCTGTTAGGAATAGTGCTACAGTGAATATGGATGTGTAGATGTCCAGGACTGGCATAGCTGGATCACAGGGTAGTTCTATTTTTAGCTGGTTTTTCCTGGCCTTGGGCTTAGACTCAGGGCCTTGGTAATTTTCCTGAGCCCTTTTGTTGGTGCCTCTTGGGGTTCTACCACTTAAGATACAGTGCTACTTCCGGTTTTTTCTGAGAAGTTTATTAGAGTTGGGAGTCTCATGGACTTTTCTATCTGGGCTTTGAACTGTGATCCTCAGATATCATTCTCCTAAGTAGCTAGAATTATAAGCCTGAGCCACCTGTGCCCAACTTTTTTTTTAAAGTTTTTTGAGGAATCAGTACCTTTCATAATGGTTGTAATAATTTACATTCCCATCAACTGTGTATTAGGGCTCCTTTTTTCCTGAATCCTCACCAGTATTTGATGAGGGCCATTCTGACTGAGATGGAATTTCAATGTTGTTTTGATTTGCATTTCTTTTCTGGCCAGGGATGTTGAGCATTTCTTCATGTATTTATTGACCTGTATATACTACTACTTCTGAGAAGTGTCTGTAGCTCCTTTGCCCATAATTGGGTTAGTAATTGTCAGGGAGTTAAGTGTTTTTGCTTCTTGAATATTCTGCTTAATAGATGCTTGTCAGATTTACAGCTGGCAAAATCTTCCATTCCATAGGCTATCTTTTTAGTTTAGAAACTATATCCTTTGCTATGCAGCAGCTTTATATTGATGCTGGTCTTGGGGCTTAAACTCAGGGCTTGGGTGCTCCAATTTGTTTTTCTGCTGGTTAATTGGAGATAAGAGTCTCATGGACTTTTCTGCCTGGGATGGCTTTGAACTGCAATCCTGGAATCTCAGCTTCCTGAGTAGCTTGGACTATAGGCGTGAGTCACTGGCACTTGGCTTTGAAGAAGCTTTTTAGCTGATGCATTTCTATTTGTCAGTCCTTGATTTTTGGAATCTTAAATTCTACTCAGGAAGTTCCTGCTTACCAGTTCTAGTGTTTTCCATAGTCATTCTTGTAGTAGTTTTAAGGTTTCAGGTTTTTACATTAAGGTCTTTGATCCACTTTGAATTGTTAGTAAAGGGTGTGTCAGAAATCCAGTTTTTTCCTTTTCTATATGGATGTACAGTTTTTCCAAAACTGTTTGTTGAATAGACTCTTTCCAACATGTATTTTTTGGCTGTTTTTTAGAAGGCTGAAGGTGTTAGGATTCAGTTCTATGTCTTCTAGTCTGTTCCATTGGTTTTCAGGTTTTTTGTTGTTGCTTTTTTGTTTTGGTTTGCCATTATCAAGCTGTTTTTGTTACTTTGGTTCTGTACTCAAGTTTGAAGTCTGGAATTGTGATACTTTCAGCAATTTTTGTTGTTCTTTAGAATTGTTTTGGCTATTGGGGGTCTTGTAAATTTTGGGGTTGTTTTCTCCATCTCTGCAAAGAATGACATTTGGATTTTGGCGGGTGTTACACTGAACGTGTAGATCACCTTTGGTAGTATGGCCATTTTCTCAATATTCTGCTGATCTAGGAACATAGGCAATGTTCCCACGCATTCTCTTTCATTTCTGCAAAGTTTTAGAGTATTTGCTGTACAGTTTCTTCACTTCTTTGGTTAGGGTTATTTCTGGTCTCACTAGGAGGTGTGTGTGTGTGTGTGTGTGTGTTGTGTAGGTTGGGGTGTGTGTGTGTGTGTGTGTGTGTAGGTTGGGGTGTGTGTGTGTGTGTAGGTTGGGGTGTGTGTGTGTGTGTGTAGGTT